GTTGTACGGCTCCACGTGCTGTCATCGAAGCCGACGGAGAGCAAACGATTGGATATCTAAATATGTACTGTCATAAACCTTACTGTCGTAGTTGTGGAAGAATATTTATGTAACAATGTAAAACATTGTGAAAAGCGCGCCGAAAAGCTTGCGTAAGGCCAGTCTCTTCTTATTATGAATATGCGCGTTTGTTTACAAACAAGAGAAAAGTCCACTCTCATGATATGCAAATTAGCCTGTGGCAGTGATGTTATGCTAAGTCATCACTGCGCCGGAGTGTGCGACTTGACCTGAGATTCTAACGATTTGATTGGATAACCAATGACCTCTAAATTAGTTCACGTTGTGACGGAACTTTTATTCATTCATAACAAGCACGTGAATTCATTCATTCTACAACTTATATGCATTGCGGGAATGTAAACATTGCGATCTTTGCCGTATCGCTGTTTAATTGTGAATCGTACTGACACAGTATATTCGTCGAAACACATAAACGCAATGTTTCCACCAATGATGTTAGCCGAGTGAAGCAACTGCAAACCAAGGAAAGGGGTGCTACGGAGTAGTTTACTGTAGGAGGCGACGAGAACTGACATGCATCGTGTCGTCGGTTACAAAGGGATCAGACGAGACGTCAATACAGTGTGACGTCTGCAAAACAAAATTCTTCCGTAACCTCTTTATGTAACCGATTTCGGTTTGAAACCACAACAATAACAAAAATATGCTGTTGTGCGAATTTAATGCATGTAAGACTTGGTCAGATACCATAGGAAGGACACTCGTTTCGTATAATTCGTATGTAATGAGACCTCGTGTAGTATTCTCTATGTACGAGGCGCTGACAACTGACATGTATCGTGACGTCGCTTACATTGTGACGTAATGCAAAATAGTTCGATTACGAGGGGCAGACTAGAATGGCATTACATTGTGACGTAATGCAAAAAGTGCACATTATCGTCTGATAAAAGTACTGTCGGCGCCTTTGATCATTTTCCGAAGCATATTAGAATTGTGCCGAAGGATATTAGAATCGTGCCTAAATATCGGTATATCCCTCGCTATCGCTCGGGAAATACCAACATGTAAGCACTTGTGTCGTAAACACAGTATGACATAGCAGTGTATGAAATAAACCAAAACCCAGCCAGACATAAGGACTGGTAACTTGAAAAAATGTTACCAGCCGAAAATGGATTTAACCAGACCAGACACCACGTAAGATATGGTGAATTTATTCAGATGTGTGGAGCACCAAATATTTTTACCAGACCATCGGACTGGCTGGCTTTAAATCGAGACCGCCTGTCAGAAATCTAGCCCGTCTTCGGCGGTCGGAAGGGCCTTATTTCCTACTCTGGACATGGGCACTCATATAATATCCTCTATGTTCAGGCTATAAAAAAATAACGTTGTTAACTTCTTTCTTGCGGACGGTGGGGTTAAAGCGTCCGCTCGTGCGACTGCTCCGCGTTCGATTTCCTACATGGGTACTAGGTTTGAAGCCCAATTTTGACGTCCTACGCCGTGATTTTGCAGGAATAATGTTAAAGCGGCATAAAACTATAGTCACGCATCTTTTCCATCTTGCAAAAAAAGAAATGAACGAACTTCGCCGATGATTCACGATTTCCATATAAGGCGAAAGTCGTAATGTAATGGCAGTTGGAAATTCCTCGGTGTACACGTGCTTCCGAGTCTTTAGCTTCATTATAAATTAATAATAAACCCAGCTCATTATTTGCTGTGTAGATATATATAAGTGCATTCATTATGAACAGCCGTGGAGTGAGCTTTGTGGGGCTATCGTTGATCTGTATGTAATACACATATATAGCATAGGGCGTGGTTTTTGCCAACTCATGTTTATATAATGAATTATGAGGGGAGTTATATTACCGGCATCCACCATTAAACGGAACATATGGAAACACAGACACTACTTGGTGTCTATCGTTTACTTCCCACATTTGGTTACATATGTTCATTTTTATCCACTGACATACTGACATAAAGAAGGTGGAGTAAGTGAGGGGTAGGGTGGGGGTGTCAAGGGGGGAGTAAGTGAAGGAGGAAGAGAGTAAGTGAAGGAGGGGACATCAAGTCAAGGAGGGATGTAGTGAGTGAAGGAGGAAGAGAGTAAGTGAAGGAGGGATGTAGTTAGTGAAGGAGGAAGAGAGTAAGTGAAGGAGGGGACATCAAGTCAAGGAGGGATGTAGTGAGTGAAGGAGGAAGAGAGTAAGTGAAGGAGAGATGTAGTTAGTGAAGGAGGAAGAGAGTAGGTGAAGGAGGGACATCGTCAAGGAGGGATGTAGTGAGTGAAGGAGGAGAGAGAGTAAGTGAAGGAGGGATGTAGTTAGTGAAGGAGGAAGAGAGTAAGTGAAGGAGGGGACATCAAGTCAAGGAGGGATGTAGTGAGTGAAGGAGGAAGAGAGTAAGTGAAGGAGAGATGTAGTTAGTGAAGGAGGAAGAGAGTAAGTGAAGGAGGGGACATCAAGTCAAGGAGGGATGTAGTGAGTGAAGGAGGAAGAGAGTAAGTGGAAGGAGGGATGTAGTTAGTGAAGGGAAGAAGAGTAAGTGAAGGAGGGGACATCAAGTCAAGGAGGGATGTAGTGAGTGAAGGAGGAAGAGAGTAAGTGAAGGAGAGATGTAGTTAGTGAAGGAGGAAGAGAGTAAGTGAAGGGAGGAGGGAGAAAGTGAATGACGGCGCGAGTAATTGAAAGCGGTGGTGAGTGAAGGAGAGGGGGTAAGTGAAGGGCGGGAGAGGGAAGTGAAACAAGAGATTCTGTGAGTGATGGAGGGCGTACGTGAAGGAGGGAGAGGGTGAAGGAAGGAGGGGGTAAGTGAAGGAAGGAGGGGAGTGAGGAGAGGTCGAGTAAGAGAAACAGGAAGTGAAGGAGGACGGGAGTGATGGAAGGAGGGGTAAGTGAAGGAAGGAGGGGGTGAGGGAAAGATCGAGTAAGAGAAACAGAGAGAAGAAGTGAAGGAGGACGGGAGTGACGGAAAGAGGGGGTAAGTGAAGGAAGGAGGGGGTGAGGGAGAGATCGAGTAAGAAAAACAGAGGAAGTGAAGGAGAAAGGGAGTGAAGGAAGGAGGGGGAGTGAGGAAGAGATCGAGTAAGAGAAACAGAGAGAGGAAGTGAAGGAGAAAGGGAGTGACGGAAGGAGGGGGGTCGGAGGCAGTAAAGCAGGAAGGGAATGTTTGAGTGAGTGTGTTTTTACGCCGCTTTTAGCAATATTCCAGCAATATCATGGCGAGGAACACCAGAAATGTGCTTCACACATTGTAACCGTGTGGGAAATCGAACCCGGATCTTCGGCGTGACGAGCGAACGCTTTAACCACCCCACCGCCCCCGTTTTAGTAATGTTCATAGTTATTGAACTGCTGTTTTAGCGACACCCTGTAACCAGAACTGAAGTACCACGTTCGAAATCGAAAAGGAACACTAACTTATACACAAGGAATCTCTCCATTCTATTGCGAGTGTCGGACTTTAGACCCTGCAGTGAGACAGCCTTCGTCACCGCTCCACCGCTTAGTGGGATATTGATTGAAATGAGCACGATTACCTGTGTTTGTATGGCAGCATGTAGATGGCATCAGCTGTATATATAGCCGTACCTGATGAGGAAGTGTGATGCAATGTACATGGCATGGATTACGCATGTGACTCCGGACAGGGTATCTATGTTAGGTAAAGATCTGTGAAGTCTACCGAATGCGGCCCTTGCTTCAACGAATATTCTGATATTCCTTGAAAAAGAAAGAATTCGATGTGAACATGTTTAAAGTTATACTGTGTATAAAGGCAGGTTTAGTTTATATTGTGTGGTAGTTCAGTAGTATGTGTGTTCGTAATACACATTTTCAGCAGAGTTCGATTCCCAACGTAGGTACATTTTAACCTCCCTTTTCACTCAAAAGAATCAGTGCAGATTATAAAATGAATCTTTCTTTCTTTCTTTCGTTGTTGTTTAACGCCACAACGCCTTAGCCATGTTCAAACTATATGGTCTGTAAATAATTGGATCGGGGTCAGACAATTCAGTGATCAACATCATGAGCACCGATCTACGCACTTGGGATACGATGACATATGTCAACCAAGTCAGCGAACACTGACCACCCGATCCCGATAGTCGCCACTTACGACCAGCATGGGTTACTGAAGACCAATTCTAACCTGGATCTTCACGGGTCTGTACGTTGCGTGTGTAACAGGCTGACTGAAAATAGTACAACAGCACTTATCTTTCGGTTTATCAGTGTGGTATGAAGAATGAAGGCTTTAGATAACACCGGACAGTTTTCTCAAACCTGGGCATAGTTCCCGTCGACAGAACAACGATCATAACGGGGATGAATCCGGCGTTCGAACACATAATCAGAAGATCTTAACATTGAAAGGGCGGCAAATCTTCAGGACGAGTTCAGTGCTTTGAGCAAACTGGTATTTATAATTTCGCGCTATATTGTAGCCATATTAGACTTAGAGTCGGGTCTTCAGTGCAATGACAGACTGGCGTTTTTTAACCCAACGCCCTAAGGTCAACGTGACCCATGACATCATGACATTATAACCTTGTGACAATATATTCAGGTGAGGTACATGCTATTCAATATTTTTTCGGGTGTGGCTGGAAAGTTGTATCGATTTACACATATGCAATTTTGTTCTGTGAACGGATGGGCTGAACATTCGTTTTGGAGGGCATTCAACACGTCAAATTATTGGGGATAGATTTCGAGAACAAGTAATTTCTTTCAAAGGTTTTGTCATCAAGTATCCACCTAATTCTCAATTCAAATTACTATTTTATGGGGGAAAAACATAGCAGGTTACTGTCAATGCGGATGGTTGGATAAAATAAGCTTTCTCACTCGTCTTTTAACCGGCACAAAGTCTCGCAGCGCAAAGCATACAGTGGAACCAGTCTATTCACAGTCCATTTTATTACGCAGTCAGTAACTTCACATATAACAAAAACTGTGTTTCGTTACAGATTTTATGTGTGGTGACAAAATAATTCTATGAATGATAGCACAAACTGACGAGTAAAGCTTCAATTTTTCATGATATCAAAAGGCGATATCACGCTCTGATGAGACAGAACACATGAATTACACATTATGACAATGCGGTACTGTTTTACATCAAATACCCGTATTTTCCACAAACAAACTTTTGGACGGACTGACTAACCGATCTCATGACTTGACATGAATTGGGATAATATTTGTAGAGCACAACATATTACGTATACATAAATAGATATATAAATCAATCACGAACGTTTTCACAAATAGTAAATAAAGTGGCATTAGATACAGCATTCGTTCAATGCTACGCTCTCTCTCTCTCTCTCTCGTTCTCTCTCTCTCTCTCTCTCTCTCTCTCTCTCTCTCTCTCTCTCTCTCTCTCTCTCTCTCTCTCTCTCTCTCTCTCTCTCTCTCTCTCTCTCTCTCTCTCTCAAACACACTTAAGCATGAAACACACACGAGTAACAAATCGATCATCAATCAAATGCTTATGTACAGACATTGACAACATGCATGTAATGAGGAAACAAGTGGGAACGGAAACTGACCTTGATAATGTCACGAAGAATAAATATAATAATGTATCTGATTTCTGAATATACCGTCAGGTATGTTTTAGCATATATGTGGTTTGTATTTGTAAAGTCTTCATAGTGCACAGTCCGGTTATTTAGTTCAAGCCCGGGTTTTGGGTGTACGTCTCGCTAAATCTTCACGGTTGTGAATCCGTGTGTGTTGAGACACAATCCATGTTAGCTCGTTCATCCATGAGTAGAATGTCTCTCATATCATGATGTGACAACGTCGGAGAGCTACTCAATACACAACAAGCTTTTGGAGTTGAGGCATATTCCGTGTTGGAGTTGAGATCGGGATCCAGACTGTATGTTTGGATTGAGACGTAGTTCCTTCATTGACTGATCTGAAACGGGAGAACAAGCGAATCATGAGTACCATACACTTTATAACGCTATCAGTACATTACCCGAGAGAGAGAGAGGGAGAGAAAGAAAGAGGGAGCGAGCGAGAAGAGGACTGACTGACTGAGTTTAGTTTTACGCCGCTTTTAGCAATATTCCAGCAACATCACGGCGGGGGACACCAGAAATGGGCTTCACACATTGTACCCATGTGGGGATTCGAACCTGGGTCTTCGGCGTGACGAGCCAACGCTTTAACCACCAGGCTAACCCTACCGCTACCCACCGAGCGAGGGAGGAGGGAGAGAGAGAGAGAGGGAGAGAGAGAGGAGCGAGAGAAAAGCGGAGGGAGGAGGAGGGAGAGAAAGAGGAGGGATAGAGAGAGACAGAGGGAACGAGAGAGAAAGACTGATGTTCTGTAATTAATTACACCATGGGCGGATCCAGGAATTTTGAAAGGAGGGGTTCAGGAGGTTCGAACCCCTGAACCCCCATTGGCTCCACCAATCTTAAGTTTAATGGTTGTTTATGTTTTATATATACACCACAACTACCACAGGTGTCAATATGAAAAACAATAAAATAGACCGTAAAGAGAAATCATAGTTTCTAATACACATACACTATTTGTTTAGAATTAGAAACATTATTCTGACTTATCTATATGAGAGAGTGAGTAAGTTGGGTTTTACGGTGCTTTCAGCAAACGTCCAGCCCTTCCACTACACGGAAACCAGACAAGCTTCAGATAGTATGCCCATGTGGGGGGGTCGAGTGAGTGAGTATGGTTTTACGCAACTCCTAACAATATTTAAACAGTATCAAGGCGGGGGACACCAGAAATGGGCTTCACACACATTGTATCCATGTGTGGAATCGAACCCGGGTCTTCGGCGTGACGAGCGAACGCTTTAACCACTAGGCTACCTCATGGATCCGTTGGGGACCGAACGCGGTCCTTTACGTTAACGAGCGAACGCTTTAACCACAAAACTACCCTATCTACACTTTATTACATGCATGAACACAAAGGGGCGTGTATATCCTTTACTTACCAGATTTAGGGTCACCTGAAGGCCGGTATCCTAGCTATCAGTTGGACAACTTGATTCCTCCATCCAAAGCGATTTAACACGTGTTCCACTATCCTCTCTATCAACTGATCGAACGGCAGATATCGGACATACAATTCATCCCCAATGTGGCGGAGTTTAACACCGACATCTCGCGTTTCTTCGTCGGCGGACCCAACAAAACCTGCCAGACCGTTCCAGTCAACAGCCATGCTGCAATAATCACACTCGGACACACAATCTGAAGAAAAGTCACCAATTCAAATCAGATGTTAAAACATTTCCCAGTTAGCGACGGTTATTCACGCTATGTGTCGTCTGCTAGGCGCGTGCTGTCTGTTTGTCGTCTGCTCACACACTGAAACGGTGAAAATCAATTCTCAACTTTTATTGGCTGATTTGAGATACAGCGCCCCTTTTTAGTCATCGATGTTGGAATGTTTGTAACGGATTGGCTAAAAATAGTCAAATTAGGTCAGCGTTCAAAGGATTTTTCGTTTGACCCAGATACCGAATAGGTATGATGTAAGCCTAATAATATATATCTAATAATGTACCGTTACCTGTCCGCCCGATTTCAAACAGCAGAATTATATAAGTCCGTGTTGTAGGTCAAACCAAATGATCAACAGGTATGGCAGAACGAATGAAGCGGAAAAACTAGACATTTTCGCGAAGGTGTATATATAGGTCAACTGTGTTTAGCATTATGTCACGCGCTGATTTCAACTCACGTCTTCCCCGTGCAAAAAGCGTAAACAATGACGGCTCGTCTCTCGTTGAATTAAGACTGAGGTCACGTTAGTGGTTGATTGACGTGCGGCTGATATAGACATGCGTGTTTTGATTGACGTGTCGCTATTCACGACATGCAGAGAAATATATTTATCTGTCATCACTGATAGTGTTCTCGCGAGTTGTTTACGCAAATTATCATAACATTTACGCCTGAATATTCTTTCTACTGTTCAAGATTTTAAAAAGGACATTTAATTGCTTATTCTAGGTAAACAATCTGCTTGAAAATCTGAACACCAAATAAGGCCTCCAAAGTAATCTGAAAATGAAAGTGTTCCATCAATATTAACACTTGCATCTCCTCTTGGGTGTGGCAACCTGATCTCGTGACTGTGTTGTTCGTTGTTGGTTGTTGTTTTTTTGTTGTTGTTTTATCATGATTATATATATTATGAGTTGGAACGCTGTTATTTTATGCTTATTACTGCGGCTGTTTTTGCATGTGAATTAATATACACTTACATTTGTCAATAATATGATTACTATAATCTTTCATTCTGTTCACTCATTTCTTGATTAGATTTAAATTTTAAGATTTACCTCAGTTCACGAAATTCAGACATGCGAGAACATTGATCTAGTTTTTGTGCTAAGATTTGATTAAAGAAACACTGCAAGCATAGGGTTTTCAAAATACAAATATGATGCCTGCATCCAACCATTTTCATCGAATATTGTTATAATATTTTGATAAATCGTCCTTAGCAGTCTGTCGTTAGAGGCGACTAACGGGATCGGGTAGTCAGGCTCGCTGTCTTAGTCGATGCATATTATCGTATCCCGACTGAGTAGATCAATGCTCGTGATGTCAATCACTGGATTGTCTGGTCCTGACTTGACTATTTACAGACCACGGCGTATAACTGGAATAGTGATGAGTGCTTTTGAAAGAAAGCTATTGGGCAATATGTACATAGCATTTAAAGAGAAATAATTTGTGAGTGGGTGGGTGAGTGTACTGGATTCAAGACCTCTTTCAACAGTATTTAACTGACTGACTGAGTTTGGTTTTACGCCGCTTTTAGCAATATTCCAGCAACATCACGGCGGGGGGAAACCAGAAATAGGCTTCACACATTGTACCCATGTGGGGATTCGAACCCGGGTCTTCGGCGTGACAAGCCAACGCTTTAACCACTAGGCTACCCTACCGCCCCCGAACAGTATTTAAGTTATTTTAAGGCCTGTCAACGTGATGTGGAGGAAAAGCCCGAATTTGTGTATGTCTTATTTGATTAAGTACAGGCAAATCTTGACCAAATTATATCAGGGCAAGACCTGGTACCCCAAGGGATGCAACTCTGTAGAACAAATAGCGGTGCCGTATTTTTAGTAATTAATAGAAATTAAAGAAACAAAATTACTTTTCGCTCTTTCATAAGCATAATTCACGAATCTATATCAGTTGCGAGATTAAAATATCGTATTGAAAAAGCAAAGTAACAACGTCTGGTAATTTTCCCACCATCAATACAAACTGAGCGATAGAAACATAACGTCCGTGAACAGCAGGGTCGTCTCGAGAAGTAGCTGTTCCGTTTGTTTAACATCTTCCCAGCTTAACTCAACATCACACTGCACAGGTAAATTTGGTTTATGTCCAACATGATATTAACAGTGCCATGTCTTGATCTCAATATGTTAACACACCTGTGTTTTTCCCTTAAAACTGCCTGGGTCGATGAAGCGCAATTGTGGACAGTTTGACCACGCGGCCCTGTCCAGGTGTGAAATCTGTGGGTGGAGAAATGGCGATTATTACAAGTGTCCACGTGCCGATGTCACTTTCACCGGCGTTAGCTCTTTCCTCGCCCTGATGTTTGTAGACGGTAAGTGAGTGAGTGTGATTTTACGCTGTTTTTAGTAATATTCCAACAAAATCAAGGTTTGGTACACAAGACATGGAATTCAAACGCGGCGTAGGTACCACTACACTCAACCCCCTCAAAGATGCTTACTTTCTTTAATAAATCCAAGACAAAAGTGTAACTCATTATTGTGTATTGAGGATGGCGCAACACAGGTCGCGAACTAGTCGAGATTTCTAGGATATAATCCGGGTATTTACTGGAAGAAAACAACAAAGACCGAATGCGGTCCCGGAGCATTGACAGAGACAAGTACCCCTTTAAGTTGATAACATAACAGAGAATAACCTCACCAAACCTGAACAAACCGACAGTTGAAATAACGAACTGTTCTTTTTGTCGGGGGCCCATGATGTATATTTAGTCGAAATGCGCACTTTACAACCGTAAACCCATGAAGATCGGGGTTAGAACTGATCTTCATGCTTCTCGTAAGAAGCGACTAACGAGGTCGGGTGGTCAGGCTCGCTGATATGGTTGACACATGACCGTATGCCAGTTGCGTAGATCGATACTCATGCTATTGACCACTACATTGTCTGGGCCAGGCTCGATTATTTACAGACCGCCGCCATATAGCTGGAATATATACCAGTGCAGCGCTAAACCGTAGTTTCTGAAAATACCTATACATTAGTTGAAATCTGTGAGTGAGTGAGTGAGTTTAGTTTTACGCCGCACTCAGCAATATCTCAGCTATATGGCGGCGATCTGTAAATAATCGAGTCTGGACCAGACAATCCAGTGATAAACAGCATGAGCATCGATCTGCGCAATTGGGAACCGATGACATGTGTCAACCAAGTCAGCGAAAATGACCACCCGATCCCGTTAGTCGCCTCTTCCGACAAGCATAGTTGCCTTTTATGGCAAGCACATGGGTTGCTGAAGACCTATTCTACCCCGGGTCTTCACGGGTCTGTTGAAATTTGTACTCTTATGTAATACACCTTTGTCTTTCGCGAAGATCAATACAACGATACAACCATATCAGCGTCCAACAAGATATATATAACTACATGTATTACATACTAAATTATATATCAATGTCTCTTGAGATGCACAACAATAGTTACTATAGGAATCAAAATCAATAAACACCAAGAGACACAATATGATATTACTTGTACACTAGCAGGGGACTTTTGTCCGAAGATTTAATCAATAATACATAATGTACTCCGAACAGCGTGAGGCCTGACAGAGAATATGTTCACCTCATTTGTACTTATCTAATGACCCACATCCTGGGCGCGCTGATGTCAGAGTCGGAGACCTCACGAGGTCACCACTGGGGTGTCACTGCGAGGCGTCACAAGGAATACTGGCACGCCAGGGGTTGTATCAGGATACTAGTTAGACTTGAGCAATCTCCATTGTATTCTTGTAACGCACTTATTGTCTCAAAAATCTTAAACAAATGAACAACATTTCAAAGTTTGAACAAAGTTTCAAATTTTATATTAAACAGATATCCTTGAGAGAGTATTGATTCAATGGAACACGCTAAGGAAGGGCCGGGGTTCCCATATGCAACAGAAGTTCATTCAGTCTGGGTTAGATGGAGGGCCTGTCCTTACCCAGGGGTGGTTTGGGTAGCCTAGTGGTTAAAGCGTTTGCTCGTCACGCCGAAGACCTGGTTTCAAGTCATACATAGGTACAATGTGTGAAGCAGATTTCTGGTGTCCCCCGCCGTGATATTGCTGAAATATTGCTAAAATCGGCGTAAAACTAAACTCACTCACTCACTGACGTTTCTTATCCCGGTGCTAACACAACAGGTAAAAGGGAAAAGTTCTAAAACAGAAGCTGTTATACATGCGCGCTGCCAGTATGAAACAGTCTGATTCATACACTCTGTTAGATATGCATTTAGAAACCCCAGATGCAGTTACATGTCGATGAACATGCGGACTGCGGGTTAATTAAAGATGTACATATTCTGGTTGCTGATGTTGTCAATGTTATGAATGCACGCACTATATGCACTGGATTCTCGAGTTGTCATGCTTTGCTATCACCAGACAAAGTGGGGAATCCCCGTTCTTCCCCGATCTTGATAGCATACTATTATCATAGTCGTGACCATTCATCTCATTACGTCATTATCGATAGGGAAGTAGCGCGAAGGAACGTTCGAGGAACAGACTGGAAAGGCGGGTCAGTGTAATTCCAGACACTTGATATTTTTACCGCATTGTCAACTGCGTATTGTCCCTTGTCCGTCGTCAATTTTAGTCCTCTGTTATCTATATCGATCGAAACATATTCTTTTCTGCTGACTATCAGATATGGCTGGGTGACAAACGGGAAACCCGGGAGTTCCCAGGCTCCGGGAGATTCCAGGTCCCCGGTCTTTCCCCATAAAAAAAACACGTTAGATGTGGTGTTATACTAACAGCCCGATTACGCAGCTTCATTTAATACTCCCCGGGAAGCTGAGTATATTAAGGTGAGCGCTTCTAAGCATGCTTGAGTGGATATATACTTGACATAAACACTCATTATAGTGACGCGAGGTAATCTTGGGGACAGAAGAACACAACCGACGTGACATCTATAAATGAAACAAACACGATATTGTTGATTATGAAATACATTTACAATCAATCGATAAGAAACACAAGTGATAGGATTCTTTCCAATGTACAGTAATTCGTATGTTTATTTCAAAACAAATACACATACACAAATGATCCCTTACATAACCGATACGTATACTATACGTACACATATTCAACATTTTGCAGAAAACATCTATTGAGATGACCCCTCGCCCGAGCGTGTGTTCAGGTGTCAATTTCACCTGTCGATACCGTGGATGCTGATGACGTAACACAGGCAGTTAATGT